GAATGAGATACCACAGGAGGACATTGACCACCTGATCAGAAGCATGCCTAGGCGCGTTGGAGAATGCGTAGCACATCAGGGTGCATCCACACATTATTAAAGGTCAAAGGGCTTTAAAGCAGTGCAATCATTTTGAAATTTTTATCATTTACTTATTATGCTTCATTAAGTACTTATACAAAATTTTATTAAAATGAAACCATTTAAACTGGGTGTTCGGATTTATATGTCACTTAGTATATTTACCTAAATAATTGTAGTACCTACGTTTGATAAACGCTCTAAGAAAATAGTCTTTTATTTTCACTCACCTATCGACGATCGATCCAATTTCCCCGCAGCTACTGGGCAGATTTTTCTCAAGACTACGAAGCTTTTTCGTCCCTGACATGGTAGTAATATTGTGTAAAAATTTCATCAATATCCGACCGGTACTTCTCAAGTTATAGGCTGTTACAAGATTAGCGGATAGACCGACAAACAGGCAGAGAGACTGACGGAAATGAGCGACATGTTTTTTCGTGGTGGACATGCCATAAAACATCTAAAAAAACATAGGTATCTCATTTTCGAAATATTTTGAGATTACAATACATCCTCACCTAGTAGCGTAGGAAGTAAAATGGTGTCAAGTAGGTTGATTCTGCACTTCCTACCATGGGCGCCCGAAGGAATTTTTCCCAGGAGGCAGATCATCGACAAGACATAACTTTTTGCCAAAGTGCACCTACCCCCAAAACTTAAAACAAAGTTGTACTGAGGAAAAATATGAATATCACAAGAAGTAAGTTTTGAGAAAAGCGAATTTAGACTAGACTCGTTGTACAGGGTGGGTCAAAGATCTAACAAAGTACCATAGATGCGTTATTATAAGAAATTGCAAAAATTATAAATAAAAAAATATTTTCTGATATACAGGGTAGCTCAAAGTGAAACCAGACCAAACATTTTTTAATGGAAAATCCTTTTATTTTTGTATTTTCAGATTCTCATGATTTTAAACATTTTTATGCGTTAGCTTCCATGCCTGAATTTTTGAGATATTGAGGCTAGATATGAGCCTTTCGTCATATGCGACAACCTGTAAAATCTAAGTGTTGATTAACCAGCAAAATGCCTATCTTAGGTTTTACGATCTGTTCTAATATGATAACTACCCTAACGGGAAATTTATTACACACGGCCTAGAACATAAGAAACTCTCTAACCTCAATAGCTCAAACGCAGAATTATTTATAAGTATTTTTTTATTTGGGACAGGAAAAAATAATGAACCAAAAAATGTTCATCAAAAGAATATAGAACAAAAAAATAATGGTAACTGCTTAAAAATGAACGTTTATTTCTTTCGTCGCATATTGGTGAATGGTAAATTATTTCGGTAACGATCAGTGGACGTTCATCTTTTTTTCATAAAAGGGCTGTGATATTTATCTTTTTTCTTTGCATGGCAAGTTTTCAATTGGGTTTAACTAAGAACTGTCATTGTTTTTGTGTGTTTCCAATACTTCATGGGATTGTACTGCGAACTACATGTTGACGGATCTAACTACAAAACACGAAATTTGTGACATTCATCTTTTTTCCCATGTACCCTTCAAATTTTAAAGTCCATTTTTTATGCTTCTGCCTTCTAGTTTGAATATTTTTGCTGAATACACGTATTTACTTTTGTTCCAGGGTGACTGCTCCTATGTACCTTGGGAATCCATCGGCCATAATCATCAACAACACGAATACACCGTGGGACAAATTCGGAAAAGAATTCATCTTAACGTTCGTAGTTGTGTTTTCCTATTTCATTTCAATGGATACATATAGAAAATGGGTAGGAACATCCTCACTGACCATTGGATCAACTTATGCTGCTTGCTCTTTTGTTTCGGTAAGGAGGATAGGTCAAGTCATAATATAGTTATCAGAAGAATATAAAAAAATCTACGACGTGTACTTTTCAAATTATATGCTTTAAAACATCGGAAAAATCTACACTCCGTGATGTTCTTTTAGTTCACATTACTAAAAATTTCAATTTTTTCGTAGACTTAGTGTCGGACAGTGTCATTTTACGTAGAGAAAGCAACACTCCAACTGGTCTCACTGACATACCGCTACATGAGAAATATTTATAGATACATATACTCTCTCTGACAAGAGACCTGGAGCCTATCACTGCTTGGGACGCAACGATCTTGTACAGTTCAATGCTTCCAAAACACAGTACCTACTGTACTTTGACGAACAAAAAGCGTCCCTGCGCTCACCTGGTTTCGATGGATGGCCGAGTTCTGCCAAAGAGCCATTCATTTCGGCTGGTCGGAGTCCAGATCACCGAGGACCTGATCTGGCACGAACACATCTCGTCAATAGCTGCAGCCGCTGGGAAAAAGCTAGGCTATTTGTTTAGGGCCAGAAGTAGTTTTCTCCGCATGACCTCACTCTATACAAGGCCCAGATAAGGCCTAGCCTCGAGTATTGCTCACACGTTTGGGGTGCTGCCGCCCCGACTACATTATCCATGCTCGATGCTGTCCAGGGGAGAGCGGTCCGACTGATCGATGACTCTTCTCCAACAGACAGCCTCGGGACTCTTTCGCACCGGCGGGCTGTCGGCGATCTAGCTCTTTTCTACCGTTACACCAACGGGCTTTGCTCCGCAGAGTTCTCTTCCATGATGCCGCCACGCGATGTGCCTGCCAGACGGACCCGTCTGACTTTGGCGTCCCAGCCTAACCGTGTCGAACTTCGTTCATCCAGAACTGGCCGATACGACCGCTCCTTTGTCCCGAGGGTGTCGAGATTGCGGAACAATCTACAAGAGGAAGCTTTTCCCAGTTCTATTAACCTTAGGCAGTTCAAAAATCGTATTAACAAAATTTCTTTGGGATCATCATAGCAGCCGCGGTGTTCCGGCATTTAGGCTTCTGCCTGCGCGGCTGCTTCTATATATAAAAGAGGGTGTTTTCAAAGTTGAGTCATTTATTTTAACAGCTTGTAGCGTGACCTTCTCGTTGTTCTTTTAAATAATATCCTGTGTCACGAAGTCTAATAACTAAATTTACAAACATCCGTGGGACCTGATGATTTCTGAAAGGAAACCTTTCCGCATACAACCTGCATGCTGCGGCTGCATTTTGTTGACGCTCTCCGTATGTTAGTATTATGTCCACTAGTTCATTGTTTTCGTGGGCCATTTTTTCGCACAAAATAATCAGACAAATGAAAGTATATGCACTATTAAAAGACTGATACGACTGATCGAACTAAAGACTCGTACTAAAAACCGTACAATAACATAAAAAGTTGCCAAATTCAGATAAACGATAAGAGTATTAAACAGAAAAACGCTAAGATTTTACACGGCAATGGTCGAGAATATCAAAAAATCTATGTAATAACATTATTTTTGAAAAAAAATTGTCTTTTACTATCTCTTTTATTATGCACTTTTTATATAGGTGATTTTTGGTATACCAACTCCTACAAGCAGTTAAAATAAATGACTCAACTTTGACGACACCCTGTATATTTTAGCAATACATAATTAGATATTATCATAGTACGTACCACTTTATAAATGATAACTGTTTTTATATCTATACACATATTTTTCTGAATTTCATGATCCTTAAGTGTGCCACCCATTTCGCCTAACTTTTAATTTGTGTTACTCCATCTATGATGGTTCTCTGAATACTTAGTCAAGTAGATTGACTTAGTACTTATGACGCATTGATATAAACAGACACGCACTGACAAACCGACATAAATGAGAAACACGGACTTGTGATGCAGATATCTTTAATCAATAGAAGACTTGTGAACCGAAGTTCGAATATTATCGCGATTTGAATATCTCCATCGTAATCTTGAGTTTTGAAAATTAATTCAGAGGCGGCGAAAATAAAATTGCTGGAACATAGTGTCACAACGTTTCAGAGATTCCTGACCATTTTGAGTCACTGTCTCATTGTTTGGAGGACTGAAGCTGTATGCGATAAATGCTTGTAAATTGTTGTGTATTTGGTGTCAGTCAAAGACCTTATTTTATTAATGTAATATGTGTTTACTTTATTATATTAATGGACACAAAAAGGAAAAAAGACATGTCTATTGCCTATTGCCTATTGCCTATTGGATGACACCTTTTTTGATTGAGGATGACCCCCTATCCCTTATCGCTCCCTTTCGTTTGATCCATGGAAACCGTTGGATACCTATTTTAAAAGTGTTTTCAATTTCAGATGCCTCAGTTGAACCCAGCGAGATCTTTAGGACCAGCTTTCGTCCTGAACAAATGGGAGAGTCACTGGGTGTATTGGCTCGGTCCATTGCTAGGAGGAGTCCTCGCTGGTCTCATCTACGAATACATTTTCAATTCTAAGCGTCATAAGAGAATGCAACAAACCCAAGATGAAGAATCATCTAGTATTCATTCGGATGACGTGGATAATTTTGACGACTTGGACAAACCCTGCCACCTATAACAATTACAGACAGTCTGTCAGCGAAGGGCCCGATTTAAATTACTGCGGCAGTCTGTACTCAGCTCCAAAACTGGAAAGACAAGAGTCAATATATGGAGGAACGAAGTCTCTATATTGTAAATCTCCATCTTTAACCAGACCAAATCTCAACAGATCTCAGTCAGTATACGCTAAATCAAATACGTTTATAAACAAGGATATCCTGCCAAAAAATGGGCCGTTAGTGCCAACTCAATCGATGTATCCTATAAAGATCAATCATCAAAGCCACATCCAAAATCAGAACGTGCAGAATTTCCTTCAGCAGAAGGCAGAAGGTAGCTATGGAACAAGAACCGGTACACAAGCAGCAGCAAGCCAGAAACGCACGCAAGCACAAACGAGCTAAAAAGAGACAATTATGCCATCGAAAGGCACCTGTACGATACCTATTCGACGGCGACCGCTGAAAGACAAAGAAGAGACAAGGATGTTCCGCAGAATGCTAGAACTCATTTGGTTAATGGAGAACCTATGGAAACAGCTACTGGTACAACTCGTAACAATAGACCGGAGTCTATGTATGGCAGACTGAGTTCTCAAGCACGTCATGTTGCGTCTACGGCACAATCGGATGATTCAAACTATAGCTCGTATACAACGAGCAGCAGTACAAGAAATGTCGTCCCCGCGTACAGCGCCAGTTATCATAACGCTGCAGCCGCCGCCTCTGGTGCTGTACCCAACACTTCTCAAAAACCTTACAGTGCTTCTGGTTATTCTGGAAGATGTTCTGATAACAGGACAAATCAAAATACTCAACTATTAGCAGCTGCTCCTGCTTTGGGTGCATATCACCATCAGCATTCACCTAATCCGCATTCTCAGTATTGATTTGTTTTTTATAAAAACTGTTACCATTAAATCTGTTATCATAGTCGACGCATCGACCGTCATTGCCTTTGCCTTCTTTGAGGCGCGAGGCTTCCTTGGAAACAATGGATATTAAATATTTCCTTGGAAAAGTGAAACAATAGGCTGCTTTACACGTACGGTTTTTTCCGCGCCAATTCTTTTGGTCCGACACTTCCGTGTAAATGCTCGGCCGCTGGTGCGTGGAACGTAGCGTGGACCTCCAGAACGGAACGCCTGAGGCAGCAGCGTTGTCCGCAGTAGTAGACTCTTCGGTCTCCTGATCAGTCGTGTGCGGGTTCGAATCGCGTTCCAAGAGAATTTTTTCTCTTGGCTATGGATGTTGTGATTGTCCGTAGGTGGTAGACGGTCTCTGACTGTCGAACGCGGAGGTACCACCCGGCGGATCTCGTAGGCGAGCCAGAATGTGTGCATGTTGCTATATATATATATATATATATATATATATATATATATATATATATATAGGATGACTAAAAAAACAATGCTTATCAAGAATTAGAGCAATTTTCTAAAGAAAACATTCCATCTTCGCGCCACTTTTTACCAAAAACATTCTTTTATTTTGGTTTCCGTGTTAACATATACGTATTTGTATATTGCATCACAAGCTATCGTCTGGTCTCTTAACTTTTTCTTAAACATCAACCAGTTAGAAATCCAACACGCCACTCCAAAACTGTGAGGTTTTGTCTTTAGACGCACTGTTTTGCCATGTACGCTCCAAGCGCACGGAGTTAGAGCGCGCTCCAGGAGCCTTGTCACATTTCTTGTACAACGTGCCAAACGCGGACGCTCCAAGCACGCACGCCTCTCTAAACGCGACAGACGACGCTCCAAAACCTACAGATTGGAACGTATGTGTAAAGCGGCCTAATGACGTTACCTTGAGGAACGTTCAAGGGAGGACTTAAATATTCATTTTACATTTTACAATAGGCTGTAGCAGTTGTCATCGCAAGCCGTTGTCAATGTCAGATTTTTCTTTGCTAGCCGTATCATATATTAGCATCTTCATGATAATATTGAGACGATTTGGTTTATTTCTCATAAATATCAATAAAAAATGCAAAATAATGTTTGCTCCTTTGAATCACCTGAAGTTAAAAACTGAACTTCGGCTAGTGATGGCAATATTATACTTATCCGTTACTCAGTAATCGATACTCTACTGGATCCGAAGTAACCGATTACAAAATTTGAGACACGATGGTTATTTGTGTAATCTGATTACTAATGATACGGAACGTAATCGTCCGTGCAGGTATGTGTCATTACACGTTGCAGTTGCCTCCATGGAACCTCGTATACGATTACTGAATACGTGATTATTGGTACGGGCAACGGACTATGTACGTATCTCAACCTCAAAGCAAAATGGGCTGCATATACGTCTTATGAGCTTAACTGCACTGGAATATGAAAATGAAAGCCATGTGAATCATCAGAAGGAAATTACGAAGTTAAACAGGTGACAAATATGTGATAAGATAATGTATATATAATATAATTATGAGTATGATATAAATGTACAAATAAACATCATTGTTTTTTTTCTTTTCTCGCATTTCACTTGTACTACCCGTATAGCCGAAATCACGAAAGATGACGATTACGTCATCATTTTAGTCTGTAGTAAAGACAAACGACAGGGATTTGTAAATATTTTTAAGATAGACGATAGACGTCCATTGATTACTTCAGTACAATTATGGTATGACGTAAAGGTTTGCTTTCATGATTCTGACTATATCATACTACTTCGACTATTCGTGTATAACAAATTTGATACACGATGGTTACTTTTCATCTGTGATTACTAGTCATTACTCGATACGGAACATCATCATCCGTGCCGGTATGTGTCATTACTCGTTGCCGTTGCCTCCATGGAGCCTCGAACCTCGTACACGACTACTGAATACGTAATTGCTGGTACGCGGGACTGGCAACGGACTATGCACGTATCCCAACCTCAAAGCAAAATGGGTTGCATATACGTCTAAACCTAAATCCAATGAACTATGAAAAAAGTCATGTGATGATCAAGAAAATTAGGCACTCAAACAGATGACAAATATTTGACGAGACAATGTAAATATGATATTATTATGAGAACGATAAATGTGCAAATAAACATCATTGGTTTTTTCATTTCTTGCATTTCACTCATACTACCCGTATCATACTACTACTATTCGTTTCCTCTAAATTTTTGAACTTCCAATTTCAACGACATAGGACTGTTTGACTAAACCTCTGTAATTAATTTTTGAATTTCTTTGTACCGGTTAAATTCCTGCCGTGAATTACTAAAAATTTTATGCTAATCGTTAACAGAGACATTTAAATAAGTATGAATAACGCTGTACCCATTTGTGATGCCAGTAATCAATAATCTGTACGAAGTACCGATACTTTTTTTTAAAGTAATCGGTAACCGTGATTGACGAAAAGTAATCGTATTTCACATCACTAGTTTCAAACCTGAAGCATTATGATTGACGTAATGATAGTTGCCTATCTATCCGCACTTTCTGCGATCTCTGCTGTCACTGTCATAGTGCAAAAGCTTTGTTTTTGTATTTGTGGTGGAAAAAACATATTGGAAAAACATAAGAAAATGTACAGATTTCGAATATGACAGATGGACCCTCTAACGACCAAATTGAGCTCAACAAAAATTTTCTGGATGGATTTCATAACTGGCTGTACTGCATTTGTGTTGTTACATTCGACTTGGAATTAGGACAAGCCTTGGAGGTAACAATAATTTACTATAATTTATCATACTATATAGCATATAATAGCTTATGAATTTCTGTCTTTTAGGCTACTTATCCTAGAAATGTTGACCTGTCGAAGCAAGACATTTCAAACATATGCTATCTGGCTTTCCCAGACTCCAATTCGGGTTGTATGGGTGACACACAATATACAATAAGACTGGAGACTAGTGGAAATGAAAAATGCCCTAAAGATTACAGTGAATACAATTCCAAATGTGCTAAACATCTACAAGTAGACTGTTCCTACTTTTTGGGTTATGTATATTTTCGGCAAGTTAAGGATATCACATTGCCTAGAGGCTACTTACAGAAGGTATTTACTGATATCCCCCGAAAAGTCTTTTGTACCCCTTAATTACACGCCAGTTGCCATATATACAGCTCATTCACAATTATCAATTTGGCAAGATCCTTTTTGAGAAACAGTGGTCTAAGAAAAACCTTTCACGATTTTTTCTGGGTTATCAGATAGCTGCCTGTATTTGACCTTGACATTCACGGCCAATTGAAGATCACTTTCATTTTAAACAATACCCTCTATCACCCCAGATCGAAAAATATACATTTGGATTGCAAGGAAGTTGTCATTAGGCTATTTTCTATTATGGCTTATAAGGTGATTCCAAGTGTGACCAGAAATGAAACTCATACACAGGGCCGCATTATAAGGGTGGTCTTCTATGTGAGATTTTTTCCTCAAGTGCTTAATTAAAAGATACGAGACGTTGAAGTTTAAAAATGAAGTATCTTAACCATCAACTAGAATGAACAAATTATGAATGTGGATTTACCTAAGTATTAGTGTACTCGGCTCTTCATGAATGATCTAATTTGTTTTATTTTTATTTTACGAAAACAGTGCACTCTAGGAAGAAACAAGTCATATTTGTAGGAAATTGAAGGTGATATTCGAATTATTTCGCGTTTCGAAAAAAAAAAACAGTGGCGTACTATTTTTTATTTGGAAAAATAATGCCACTAATCCCCTGTATCTCGCCACTGGCGAACGTTAATTTTGGGTAAAGACTTTTGACAAGCTTAGGTAAATCCACATACCAAATGTTAGTTCATTCCAGTTGACGGTTTTGAAGATATTAAAAACAATGTTTTTTATTTTTAAACTTCAACACCTGTATCCTTTTAATTGAAGCCTTTGATGAAAAATGTTACATAGAAGACCTCCCTTGAAAGGCGGTCCTGTGTATGATGTTTCATTTTTGGCCCTCAAGGTCAAATACATTTTAAGGTCATATCTGTCCTTAAACTACGTACTTTTTCAGAGTGTAATTTTGCTGACTTTTCTTCCATTCACAAATTTGTTCAGCAAAATATGCACAGCAATGCTCATGAGTATTTTGAAAATGGTCCAGATTTTTCAAAATATATGCTCAAAAATTGGAGAATGGCCATTGCCTATGCCAGGATCCCTGATAAACTTGAATTTGTTGGACCAAGATTTTCAGGTGAGATAATTACTTTACTGTCATAGATAAAATTTAGAATAGCTTTTGTTTCAGCTGTCCAAATTGTGTAATCTAGTGGTCATTTGAACTGCATAAAGATATGTTTTCTGCATCTCTACAACTGAATCTGGAATCCATTTAGTGGTGTTCCCTATATCAGCAACAATTCTAGTTACTATAAAATGTGTTATCAAAGAATTTCCAAAAATCCTTGCATGTCTGTATTCTGGATGAAGACTGGCTTCCTAGGCAAAGCAATGACATTAATTGACAACTACTCCAGACTTTTAATTTTTACTTTTAAGTTCGAGTACCGGCGTCTCAGAATTTCTTAATGATCATTTCGAATTCAGCACCCCCCAGTTATTTGATAACACCTTGCACATTATCATTATCTTCATGGCGCTATATACCTAAAAGTACTCTACCAAGAATGGCTTACTTTTCATTTTTCAACATAGGTATATAATGTACTATTGTCTATTTTTCACCACAGTCAAAATCTAGAAAAATTGCAGTCTTATTTAGCTGTATTCAGATTCCAATTGCACATGCGTTCTTCCAAAATGTTCCCGCCCCTCCTTATTTTTAATAGCTCAAGTTAGCAAGCTGACATTCATTTATATCGGTTTGTCAGTCAGTATCTGTTGTATATAATTGCGTCACAAGTACTGAGTCAATTGACTTGACGAAATTTTAGAGAACCATC